TACTAAGATTCAGGTGGATATGGGTCACTGATTTCTTTATAAAACAACATTCTATTTACTACTCTGTTTGGGCTAAAGCATATATCTCAGGGGAGGATAACTCAAATCCTGGAACAAATCTCTGTGAAGCAACCCTTTATGTCTCCAAATGTTTGTTTTTTTCTGAAGTGGGTTTCCTTGCTGTCCCACAGGGCCGAGAGCTGCAAACACTCCACAACCTCAGAAGGCTTTTTGTCCAAGACTTGGCCACTCGCGTCAAAAAGGTAAATCCCTGTCTGTGTGTATACGTCCTCATGTTCTCGAGAAACTGCTCATGGTACCCTATCACTCTAACATCCTCCTGTGATCTGGTTTTTGTGTGATTTCCTCTTCTATCTAGTGTAATATCACATTAGCTCCTGTTGCCCTGACTTCCACATTTACCTGGAATGAGACGCGTAGTTCGCTCATGCACCGGCTGCACTCCATTTAATTTGCACCATGATGACATTTTAATGAATCCAGGGAACACAACAGAAAGGGTGTGCAATAAGTAGGCCATCTGATTCTTCAAAGGTAGCAGCTGTAAATTAGGGACCCAGACTCAGCATGGCGCTCATCTCCAGCACTCAAGCTGAGGCTCCACGAGATAAACAAAAGCAAAGCATGCTCTGCTGCTGTACCCATCCCAAATCTACTTATCACCTCATTAAGCCACACATGGGTTGCTTTGGATTCAGAGGTTTTGGTTACCGACTTCTTTTAATACTCCGTGTTTGAAGAATTTGATCAATCAGTTACACTGAGATAAATGAATGCAGAGGTACAACATGGATTGAAATCAGTGTACCAATAAAGCTGTGTCTCTGTAGAATGCTCATGTGGATGGTGACACAGAAGGCAGCTCTGCACATAAACAGAAGATCTCTTTCCTGGAGAACAACCTCGAGCAGCTCACCAAAGCTCACAAGCAGGTAGAAATACACACAACTACCACAGTGCTTCCTCCCTGAACTTATCATGGACGTGATTTCTACATGCTCTGTGTCCTCTCACTCTTTGTTTTCCCCTCTGAAGCTGCTACGGGACAACGCAGACCTGCGCGGTGAGCTGCCTAAACTGGAAAAGCGCTTGAGGGCCACCGCTGAGCGGGTGAAAGCCCTGGAGGCGGCGCTGAAGGAGGCCAAAGAGAACGCAGCCCTCGACCGTAAGCGCCACGAGCAGGAGATGGAGCGCATTAAGGACACTCCCAAGCCCAAGAACATGGGCAGGAGAGCCTCCATAGGTAAGGGACACGCACATATGGAACCATGTCAGTCATGCCTGCGACCATGGAGATTCTCAACACTCAAGCATGTAGATGTTGGCCATGAGGGTAGAGTAATAGGTCAACAATGTTAGCAGGTATATGTGCAAAATGTATGGAAGCTCTACAGTATGTTAAATGTACTCGTTGGATTGGACTTATTGGAACATGTTAATGCCCTTTATCTCTGAATTTGTATGTATGGTTTTATTTAATGTGGAACTGCAGGACTGATACCAAAACAAATATCCTTGTGTGAACAATAGAGAATATCATATTGTATTTTAAAGTATCATAATGTAACTAGCACTGGTCTAAAAATCCTCAAAATGAGTAGAACAATTATGTGGTAATACGAAAGTCAATAGTCTGAAATAAGTTAATTAATTATATGAGGTTTTTCCAATAAGTCAAATCCATTGAGTCATTTTAAGACAAGTAAACATTTTGTCCTTTATTTATTGCTGAATATGGAGCCAGTCAGGTGTCAGCTAGCTAGGCTTAGCCTAAAGACCTGAACCAGGGGGAAACGGCTAGCTCTGTCTAAACTTGAAATATACACATTTAAACTACAAACAAAGACATGGGAAATATAATAACATGTGTTGTGTCAGCCTGCTCTCTGTATGTGACTCCTTTTATCTCTCCGTGTCTGACCCAGCCAAGCCCATTAGACCAGGCCAGCTGCCTGGAGCGTCCCCCCTGATCCCCGGCCTCAATAGATCCAACCTCATTGGGAACAACATCAGGGAGGCGGGCGACAGCAGGTGAGAGAAACCTCTTCATAGTAGCTAAATAAGAAGAGATGTTTTATTTTCATTTGTATGTCTTCCTTATACATATGTCACTTATTTTCCATTCATTTCTTTTCTGGTTTTCTTTACAGCCCCTGAAGATGGAGCAGTCACCCATGTAACATCTTGAAGCTCCAGACCCAGCTATGTTTTCATTACAAAGATATTGAACTCTCACCTGAAACCACTGCACCACTCTTCCAGCATCAAAGTGTGTATATAAATATATATAACTGTATATAAGAATTCCATAAACTGTGTAGACAAGCCTCTACAATAACCACATCAGTGCCTTGCAAAATCAACACATCCATGCAACACGTTTTTCTGTCCTGATGTTAGAGTAAAATATTAGTTTCGGTTTGAGCCCAGTTGTTTTTTAACTGTACTTATTATAAACACAAGACACTGTTCTGCCAATGCTTGATTGTAATGTGCAGATGATTGTAATAATCTTGCATAGTCATTCAATAGTGTATTCCATATTGGTGGCTAAAAAGGAGGCTCCCATTTAATTAGAACAGAAAGAGCAAGTGTATGTATGATCCGCCTTTATTTAATCAGATGTTTTATTCTTTGTCACATGCTTGATACTATCGCTAAAAGCCCTTAACTCCTCAGCTTCCCAGAGATGATTTGACTCGGGAACTGCACTTGTGTTTGGGCTAATGACAGGAAGAGCACTAGCAGTGGGGAGATACATTCCTAATTTATGCCTGATAGCTGCAGGCACTTTGTTTGGTTAAACATTAATTATGTTTTGTTTTGAATCCATTCAGACTGGATTTACATTAGGAAAGTGGATGATTGAAACTTACCCTCCTGAAATACACTATACAAGTGCAATGACATCCTACTACTGTTCAGATATTAAAGGTAAAGCTTTAAATAAATAATGACATCATTTAAAAAATGTTTTGGTTCCTTAAACTTAAGGCACCTTTAAATGTCTTGCTGAAAAAACCCTTTGCTTATCACGCTGATCACTTTCTTAAAATGAATGTACCACTGGAAGTATTATTATACATGATTTAATATTGAGAAGTCATCAAAATGATTGTAACTGCACTGTACATGTACTGTACAAGAAGACCAACACTGCAGCATATTTTCACAAGGGTTTTTTGTAGACTTTGACCTCAAGTGAATTTATTTTCTCTAGAGATAATACATTGAAATTGAAAACCTTTTTGTGGTTCATTTATCCATCTTCCGTGAGAGAATGGAAACAGATTTAGACATATTTTTCTCCATCAAAATAAGATTATTGGTATTAAAGGATTTTCCAAAGAAACACTGCATGCTAAAGAGAAGATTACATTTTCTACACAATCATTTTCAACGACTGCTATGTTGATCAAATGTGTTAAATGTTTTTTTTTAAATAAATGTAACGCCTTAAAATGAATGAATCTTTTTCATATGCCAAAACATTCACATTATCCGTCCATAAACCTCAGAACAGAACTAAATATCAGTGGAACAACCAATGCTCATGTGTTTCACTTCCCCCCTTACACCAATAGGGTGTGCTTTTACACAAAATATGCAAATACACAAGGAGAAGTGATGTGATTAAATAAGCATGCAGACGTTCATACATTATTCTGAAATAATGTAAACTTGTTGTTTTATTGCCTGAGGCTTATTTCAGTCCTTTTATAGTCTGAGCGTTCTCCATTGAGGACTTGCTGAGTTCCTGGATCATCCAAGCACTAAATCATTCATGATCCTGCTGGATGGTGAGACTCCCTGCTGGGATTGCCAGATAGAGCCTGGCTGAGGAGATGGGGATGCATCTTGACATGTTTATCCTACACATTTTAATTATGTTTAATGGTTTTAGGAAATGGGCAATGAAATCCTATCAAATAATGAGAACAAACAGATAAGCCTGCAAACTTTTACAAATATGTATTCCTATACCTGCATTGATTTTTCAGGGTCTTAAGGGAAAGTGAAATTTAGACCATTACAGATTTAACAGTGGGTCCTTTGGAAATCCGTGGACCCTATGTTGGGAAACACCGGTCAGTGGGGTGTTGAACCTGGAGGGGGCAGGCCGCCCGCGGGGATCTGGGAGCCGTCTATCAGCGCTGACAGACGGGTGGGGTGGCAGCAATAGACCAGGGTCTGCAGGGTTAAAGACCTCTACTGCGTCATGCTGAACCAAAACTCACCGACTAAATCGGATCTTTAAGAATGTGCCTTCAAAATAAAACAAATAAAACCTGACCAAAATTAGGTAATCTGTGTATGAAAGGAAACATAGTATGTTTTACAATGGCGGCATTTGATCCCATAATGGAGACATTACTTTAAAATATATGATAGCACAGTTAAGGTGCTACGGTTTTTAGGGCACTTTCAACGTTCTTGTATAAAAAATGACCCTACATTGTTCTATATTTAAAATATGATTAAAGTTGTAAACACAATTTAAGTTACCGTGCATGCGAGTTATGACTGAGAATATAAATATATATGATAACACTTACATTCTTGTAGTGACTTTTAATGAATAATGTTCATTTCAGTAAGCTTACCCAGCATGCATAAATTGATTTTGGATGGATAAAGGATATCAGTTTTAACATTGCCTACGTTATATCAAATTGTATTGTGTTGTTTGGATATACATACAAGAAATCACTCATCGTTGATTTGAAATAACATAATCACTACTTGCAACATAACCCCACCACACACAATTAGAAACGTTTAATTGATCTTGTGCCAACACATCTAAGATCAAGAGAGTCTTGAATACATTTTGTATACATTTTGACTACACAGCCAATCATGTTTTTTTTTTGGTGTATTTCATCATTATGTTTAGCTGCTCTGCTGTAATTCCAAGCACCAAATAACAAAACACAGGTTCTTCCGCTAAAGCTCTTACTTTGAAAGCTGTGACCGGATGTGTGTTGTGTTGACGCAGTACGCTTTACTGCCTGAAGAGAGGCGGGGGATTGCGAACAGACCGACTGACTGGAGGTCTGCTGCGGACTTAATCGGAGAAGCACACACTGAATTGGGGAGAAAAAGTTGCTTCTAACTACCCATACGGCCGACACAGAACACAGAGAGTCACCCCTGGAGTTTCTAAAGGTAGGTATGTTTGAATGTTGTGCGTGGCTTCTCCATACCATTGGTCAGCGACAGGCTATTGGCTTCTGACGGAGTTACTTTGTTGCTATGCACGCTGTTGCAGAACGGAGGGCTTGTATCCGAGTGAACCTGCAGTGCTTTTGTCCAGGCACGAAGCCTCTGGAAATTGTCACTCAAACGCCTCACACCGGTAAAATATCCTGAATACGAACACTATGTTTTGCTTGTGTTTGTTTTAATATTTAAACAGCTAGGTTATCATTACATTCCACGTGATAGCATCAGTCTGAGTGGCACGCACCTACAGATTTGGTGAGCTTGTTTTCTCGCGGTGTGCTTGGACATTTGTCCCCGTTTAGGTGTGCTTTCTCCGGCAGGCACGTCGACTAACACTCCCCTCGCTCCTGGGAATCCTTGGTAATGTCGAGTCGGGGTCCTTTGTTATGATTGCACATGGATTAAACTCCTTTGTGCTGTATTTCTGCAGTCTGCGGGGCTTGAAGGGACCCTGCCCCCCACCCATGGGCCATGCCCCCCCTCACCACCGCCCCAGGCATGCTCTGGCCACTCAGCCCCTGCGATTTATAGACCCTAGCTGCTTGTTTTCAACAGTGCATAATTGCAAAAGGACTGTTTTGAATTCAATGCATACCCACATATGCATCAAATAACCCGCATAGATGAAAGTGAATGCAGCAGCACATGTTGAGTGGATGCTGCTTGGCCACATCTGTTTTGAATGAAGCACAGGGACAAAGGCAGTCAGGGTCTCAGGATGTTTTGCTGCTACAGTGGCTGGTCTGCAGATGTATGCAGACAAAAGCACATGTCGTGATTCCTGTGTTGATACATTGCATACCTTCATTTGTTGCCAGATTAAGTGCTAGTTTTTGCAGGTTCTGTTACAGTGGATTTGCAATAATGCCACTTACACAAGTGTTTTATACATCACACTGATTTCTGCACGTTCCTGTCATTCATCAGGAGCGTTTTCAGCACGTAGCCCTGTGTGGTTTTATTAACATTTTATGCAATTGTTTTCATTATTATGCTTTCCTCTCATCTGATTGGTGGATGTTTTCCAAATTACTTAATTCGGACTGTTTACATATTAAATAACATCTCATCTGGAAATAATATAAGCAGCAAAATATGCATTTTCAACCAAGAAAAAGGTGAGGACTTGAAGTCTTAAAAAGTTGCCAATGGTAATAGTTAGCTGCTACACATAGTTTACCTGATAAAAAATACTTCTCATTAGACTAATTGTTATTGTTGCCTTGTGCCCCAAAACTACTGATTGATTCTTAAATAGTAAGTAGAGGACAGTGGGGAATTGTTCAAATGGACAATGGTTGTTCAGTCACTGCTGTGCTTTGTTGTGCCAACCTGTTCCTAAACATAAGCGAGATCCTTTTGGGTCTCCACAGAGCAGCACGTTGACTTCACTTTGCTCTGACACCATGCGGTGACAGGGATTCTATTGCAGCAAAATGTACTCTCTCGGGTCCTGTGCCAGAACTGTGAAACACCACAGCAGTTCGGAGAGAGAGGAGAAGAAGAGAGAACTAGGGGGGAGTGGAGTTGTACATTTCTGCTGTATTGTGCCGAGGAGCCACTTTAAATGTACGGTTAGCAGTACGTTTTTTGTCATTGTGACTCAGTTGTGGGCCCCTGCAAAAGTTAGTGATGTCATTCTTCCATTCTGTGAGGTTTTTAAGGTTACTGTTGTCTTGCTAGGTTATCAGCTCTTTGACACAGTGTGAGAACTGTTAATGGTTGTAGTGGTGTTATATTTGGGAGCTGTAATCTTTTGGATAAGTGTCCCAACTTTAGATTGTAGTGGTATGAAGAAGCAGTTGCTGCTAATCTAACGGATAAACTCCTTCTTGGACTTCCTAACAGCATGACATTTGCCTGGTGCGGCAATGTCATGTCACTTATTACAGATTGTACCCTTTATCTTAGAATGCAGTAGCTAAACACACCAGATACCCAGTCTGTATTTACTTCAGGACAGTGGCTGTCATACGCCATCAGTGATAGTGCCGTTATCATGTGTGTGACTTGAAGCTCTGACACGCTCCTGACTACATCTCTGGCCCCTTTGGTGATGGTGTGAGCTGTAGATTGGGTCCGGTTGGCGTTAGGGGACGAGGATTTGTGACTGATTCCCATTACTACACAGTCAAATTAAAACAGACAGTGACTGTTCCTCGAGAGACAGTCATTCATTCATAAAGGATTGGGTATGCCGTGTATTGTCATAGCTTGTAACGGGACAGGCCCGCACTGGGCAGGCACACACAAGCCCTGGCATGACGCAACAATGTGTGTGTGCTTAGCGTTGAAACGGATAAAACAGAAACCATTCAGGCCCATTATGAACCAGCAGCAAATCTCTCATGGGCTCCCATTCTGGCCCAGACAGCCACCATAAATCTATTCTGGGTTGGTAGCTGTTAGTCTGTGTGTATATTCCTTTACATGAGGATGGGCCCCTTTATAGATTCAGCGACGCGTTCTCACGCCTCACTAAAGGCACCTGCTTTTACCGCCCACACTTCCAGGATGTCAGTCCACCGTGGCTGCTATTTCAGGGAAGAGGAATATGATATGGGGGAACTGCAGCCTGGTAGCGGCTCCTCTGCGATGGGAGCGCCCCGGTATTTATTTAGGTTAACCGACGAAGGGGAGACTCTGACGGACGGATCAATGACAGGCATCATCTCAAAACAAACCCTGCAGGAATGGCACAGGCCCAGTTGTCCTCTGACTCACACACTGTGAATAATATATCGAGAAAGATCACCCTTTTTAAAGGTTTCTAAATGTGTCTGCATTAATGAGTAATGATGCAGAACTCTATGAAACGACACACACTTTATTTCGGGATGCAGACACTCTCTGAGGGAATGTAAGCTCCAGGGAGTCATTGTAGTCATTGGATCGCATGCAGGATCTTAGGGGTCATGTTGTCATCACCTTTAGCTCCGCAGAGGGTGATCAGGTTACCGGGCTGGATATCCTTTGCAGCGGTATCGGTTACCAGAGCAATCAGTGTTGACTGTCTGTTGTGGTTTTTGGATGATCCGAGGTAGGAGTTGCCTTTACTCGACTCACCAATTGAGAATTTCTGTCTGGTATTAGATCATGTCATAATGTTAGTGTGTCATAGCAGTAGCACTTTGTGGTTGTGGTAATCAGGTGAATAATACAGCGGTGTGTGTGACAGCCTGGGAGGTTAGTACGAGGAAATGTGAGCATGTTGGTGTGGTCTGGTGGGTGTATGTTAATGTGTCTGAGCTTGCTATAGCTTGTGACATTTAACGAAAAATAACTGTCTTATCTCCCACAGCCCAGCAGTTCCCCACAAGTCGGACATGAGGTGCCCTCCAGGCCTGGGTCGCTGAGCAGCTGAGGTCAAGGTTCAAGTGCTTGTTCCGGCAGTCATGGCTGACAAGGACGGGCCGCCCATCGCCTCGGGCCAGGTCTACATCGAGGTGGAGTACGACTATGAGTACAAGGCCAAAGACAAGATGGTGGCCATCCGCCAGGGGGAGTGCTACATGCTGGTGAAGAAGACTAATGAGGACTGGTGGCAGGTGAGGAAGGAGGAGGGCGCAAAGGCGTTTTATGTGCCGGCGCAGTACGTCAGGGAGGTGCGCCGGGCGCTCATGCCCCCTCAGAAGCCCACCTTAAGGGCCAAGCCCACCGTTTTGGATATCCGCCGGGCATCCGATGAAAACCTCAACCGACCCCAACCGGAAATGTCCAGCTTTGGGCGTCCGTCGCCTTCCTCCACCCCCTCGCCGTCCTCGGATCGTGTCTCCCCGCCGGCTCTGTCCAAGGATGTTAACCAGAACCTGGGGAGTCCCCATCACTGCAAGATGGTAGCTGAACTGGTGCTACTTCACAACAACAACAACCACCACCACGCTAATAATTCAACGTTGCCAAGGACACGGGCAGACTCGCCTCCGCTCAAAGTAGGGAACAACCACAACAAAAGTCCAGATAGTGACAAGACCTCCCCTCTGAGCAACCCGCCAGGAGATCGGCTGAACAAGCTCCACAACGACTCGGAGTCTGGGGATGAGCTGAGCAGCAGCTCCACAGAACTCATGCAGGTACGTTGCTGCTTTACTTTATTTAGAAATGGCATATTTACAGGATTGGCTTAATTTGTTGCATTTGTGAGTTTTGATTTGTGCGTTATTTGTCAGTTTATGAGAATAATAAATCGTTCACTATGCCAGCGTTGGTAGGGGCAAAAAACACAAAGCACTGTAGCTCATTCAGATCTATCCCTGAGGTTTTTGCAGACAGCATATCGGGAGTACTGACTCTTTGAGTACCATTTGGTTTTGTACATCTAATACCCAAAATATTGCCTTATGTTTTGTTCCTTTTCTTCCATTCCTCCTGGTTTATTTCCCTCTGGTGCTTTTTTCTTCTTCTCATGGGTCGGCTGCAGATAACCGCCCTTGTCCCCATCAGATACTGTCATATTGGATGTGCAGAGATTGCATGTTTTTCACTCTCCGTCTCTTGCAGAGCTGCATTCATTCATCAGCCCCTACGCTTCTCCACCTCAAACTGTTTGTGCCTCATTTGCCAGATTTCACAGAAGCAGCAAAAGTTGCAGTGCCTTATTAAAATGCTACCGTTTCCCTTGAAGCATAATTAGTTTGGCATGTACAGATGTGCATTTTTTATTTTTGGGCAGCTGGGTTTTTAAAGACTAAACAGTCTTTCCGGTTAAAATTGGAAGTACTATAATTGCGTCTTCAGGTATATTTAAACCAAGGAAATGCCAAACACAACTGCCAAAATGTGTAGTTTTGTAACGTTGCCTTTCGCTTATGTGATTTTCTTATACTACAGGAATGTTGGCCATGGTATTGTTACACCCACAGCTAATTCTTAAAGGCAGATCATCTCTGCAAGGGGTCTGGTATCTGTGTAAAGTGACTAAACCCCATGTAGGGATCCATTCCTGATGCTGGGATACCAAACTTCCTGATGAAAACATGAAATATTTCCCTCCCCATGTCCCTTCAGTCACTAGATTGACAACTTCGGCCTCTTCCCACATTCATAATATGTGTCTCGGTGCTAGGAGAATGGAAGAATGAGTTGAATGGGAACAGGAACTGAGGCTTATCCTCCCTCGTCTGCAGTGAAGGTAGATCAAAGTAGAGAAAAGGAGAATTCTAGACGGCGGGGGTCCAAGCTGCACTGTTCTTCGTGAGCCATTTCTGGTGTGGCTGTATCCAGGCAGGGTCAGCTTGTTTGAAGGTTCCAAGTGCTGCTTGTGTTCTTTGTTCCACAGGCTGCAGCAGCCTCCTCCACCATGGAGGGAACAAAGAGAGACGGGCTTGAATAGAAACTAGGTCATATCAGCGGCGGAGGATCAGTCTGTAGCCCCCTGTCGCCCCGCCGTGGGGACCACTGTGTGAGTGTGAATGCCATGTGTGATGCGCCCATGTGAAGTGGAGGAAAGTGAGAATGGAAGCACACCAACACAGTTTACAACTTCATAGCCCCTCATGAAGGACGGCTATATTGATTGTGGGTCGCAATTTAATTGACACACCTCAAAAGCCCCTATCAAGGCGAGAACAGGGGTTGTTTTCTGTGTAGCTGCCTGCCTTTTTAGATAAATTTCACGCTTGTCAAGTCACACGGGCCAAAATAAACACCCATTTCACTCTCTGCAATTTACATTTGCACGGGCCGCTCTTTGGGGTGTTTTTGTTGTCGTTCAGGGTACAGTAGTGCTGGAGGGGCGGATAAGAAGCAGACGGGATTCAGCCAAAACTCCCTGTGAAGCTCAGCACTGTCTGGTCACGGGACAGGTGGAGCCCTCTCCCCTGCTCTCTCTGCCTTTTGTGATGTTGTGTTGGCTTGTCCTGTTTGGCTTGTTGCCAGGCAATTGAATGACCCTGCAGAAAACCTACAGCTTCCTGTCTGTGCTCAGGTGCAAACAAACTGGGTCTGCAGGAGACAGGACCATTTTGTGACAATGCTGTAATGTCTGAAGTGGTTTTGGAGAGTTATGAGTGCTTACAAGAGACTGATTGATAGTAGATTTATTTAGACATGTGCCAATATTTGAGCTACTGCACTGAGTAGTATATTTTACAGTTATACAAAAATGGAGGTGAGCAAATGATGCACAGCTGCAGGAACTATGAAGGAGCGGCAGTGTGTTCTGTTTCTTTCTTTTAACTAAACTATAATCAAGACACATTCTTTTTTATTTTCTATGATGTTCCATTACATTAGGACTCACACAATGGAGTGTGGGCGGCTGCTTTGCAGATGCACTGGACTGCACAGCAATTAGAACTATGAACGATAATTATAATGCTTATAATTTAACATACGGTTCATTATGAACATGCGTCAGCAAAAACTTGTTTTTAAGTGAAAATGACCCATTGTTGAACAAACTATTGAAAGTTCTCCAAAGTTCCCCCGCGGAAAACAACTTTATACAACTTTTCTATTTGTTAAATCATCCCCTCGTAACCAGATAAAATAAAGATGCTTTTGCTGTAAACCAAATCAGTTCACCTTCAGCCTGAAACATAAGTCCTTCCCTCCCTTACACATATCCTCTGATGGAGAGAAGGAGCCTCTGGATGAATGGGCGGGTGGGGGGACGTATGGACGTGTTAGAAGGATTTGTCGCTGACATGCCTCCGCTCGAGTGCCAGCTGGCCACCTCTAATTGATTAGATTTGATCTCGGGGTGACGATTAACGCCTCTGTGTCTCTCCGTGCTTTCCGTGTGTAAAAGGCGGCTGCAGAGCGGGATCGCCCCCCCACCCCCGCCTCCTCAGCACCTTGCAGAGTTGCATAGGTTTGTGGTCGACAGCCATCCTCATGAATCCTACTTAAGATACCAAGCCCTCCCCCCCTTCCCCTCTCCTCTAAAAAGCTCTTAAGGGATTGGCGAAATAAACCTCTTTTCCTCACTTCCAAGAACCTGGCAATGGGATACTGTTTGTTTCGCTAAAAGAATGTGGCAAACCATATGATTTGAAAAGCCTGTTTTTCACTCAAACACATGGGGTTTCTCTACGGCTATTCTGTTTTTAAAGTCACTGCAGAATAACAGATGCTCAATTACAACAAAGAAAGTTATTTTGGGTCCTTTTTCTGGAATACTTTTACTCATATCTTCCTAAGATACGTAACCTTTTTTATGGGAAACGTCTCCCTTTCTTTCCAAAGTATAGTAACTTGATATATGTGTGGGATTGCTGGATCACAGTGGCTGCTGTGTGGGATTGTGTGAGGACAGACTGTTGTTTTCTTTCTGAGATGTGTCACAGAGGGGAAGATGTGGTGGCCCTGGATGTGTTTGCGTCTGTGGCTTTGCACTCAGGAGCCGGGCTGTGCTCACTCACTGTCTGATAAAAAAAGAACCTTGAGTGGCCTTGCCTTTTTATACCATGTCACACTCCAAAAAGGTTATCAGCCGCTAAAGGGGCCCTCCCTTTCTTTCCCAATTTCCGACACTTTTATCTGTTAAGTAACTCCCTGTAGTCTGTTACATGCAGACCTCCATGTTAATAATAAAAAGTGCTAATTCCCTGAGATTACAAACGAGATTAGTCGCTCCCCTTTTAAATAAGCTGCCTTTCTGTATGACATGTCTTGTTTCTCAGAAATGTCCCTAGAAGCTCCACTTTAAGGATGCCTACAGTCACAATGACATAACTGGCTTGTAAATGTATCCCGATACATTCTCAAAGGGTTTAAAAACAAACGGAAGCGGCTGAGTCTGTCTGCCTTCAACCTTCTGTGTGGTCTAGATGGCAATGCCTGGGGGTGGAGGAGGAGGAGGAGGAGGAGGAGGGAGGGAGGGGTTTGTGGGCGTAGAAAGACAGGGACAAAGTGCCCAGGCCCCACAGAGCTGCTGTAGCACCGATGGGATGGCGGAGACCTGGGGGACAGGAGGCCAGAACGATGTGTTTTCATGTTTGGGTGAATCTGAAGATTAGTTGTAGCCTGTGAGCCGTGAACCTCCGGTTGGCTGGCGGCGAGATGAATGACTAGAAAGCGCAACATTACAAGGTCACCGTCAAAGATGGAGGAGAGCAGTAACACTGGCTGTGGTGATTGTTGGAGTGTGCGTTGAGATATTCTTGAATGTCGATGGTTTGTTCATTGTTCATGCCCACATGCGCACTTTGGCTTCTGCTAAGTTGTATGTTTACCAACTTGTGCAACAGGGCAAAGGCTGAGAATGTGTACCAGGGGCTTAGCGGTGATTTGAAATAGACTTCTATGTGGGGGTGGTTGCAACTCCTAAGGGCACTTTGAAAACGCATTCACTCCTAGAGAGGTTTGATCAATTTGCTGCCACTTATTTGGTGCAGTGAATTGAATAATTATTATCCAATGACGTGCGCTTTTCCCACGTGAAGCAGAATGTGTGTATTGTTCATAGAAAGGACAGCATGGTGGCTGTTGAGTGAGCCTGTCTCTCGCTCTTGATGGTCCTGGGAAGCTAGGGTTTACTGTACAGAAACGACCTGTTCCTAACATCCCAACGCCACAATAACCTGCTAATTACATGCTGCGCTGAATGGAATCTCTGCGGAGTCTCAAATTTGCTGCATAGCCCTCTTAACAGCCAATTTCCAAATGAGCTGCGATCTTTTTGAAGTAAGAACAAGAGGTCCTTGTTCCTATTACATAATGACCCTAGTAAAAACCCAAATAAGTAAGCAAGCAGTGCTGTAAAAGTGCAACCATCTCCTGTCCCGTAATCTGGAGCTTTGCCGCGAGTCTTACTCCCGGGCCGGCTAAAAAGGAGGCCCCTGCTTGTTTTCCAGTGCATACTTGACATTCCATCCTCAGTGCACACACACTAGCATACAGTGAGGCAACAGGCATGCTAAGTCAATGAAGGCCCGCATTGCCTTGAAAAGCGAACCACTGGACCTTTTAGTAATTTAATATTAAACTCGAGGAAGATTGTGCATCCGCTGTGTTCATGCGAGAGGCTGCCGGCATTCTTTCTACTCTTTCCTCTGTCTAGACCTTTTAGTTTCTCTTCTACTTTTCCTGTTTGCTCTGTCTCTGTTGCTTCCTCTTCTGCTGTCAGCCT